AGGCAGTGTTATTTGTGCTATTCAACTAAACTCATTTCTTTTTAGAATATAGGACATAGATTGGGCAATGAAGGATGCAAACCTGAGCATCCTACCTTTGCCTGTACCTGTAAGTAGGTTTCATATGTTTGGGTTTTTACATTTCACCATGTTGTTTTCATGTTTCAGGGTTTGAAAAGGAACACCTCTGGTAAGTATCAGTCTTCATCTTCAATGGTGAACTAAGAGAATGTGACACACGAGTCGTGTAGTCAGCAGTTTTAATTTGTGGTTTCAGGTGAGGAGATTGCCAGACCGAGACGAGTCGTCGCCACACCAGCTCCAGCACCACAACCCCCCAGGTTTGTACTTCACTGTTCTCTCACAAAGTTAAGGACAAACCTCTGCCACTTAATGAAAAGGGGCTATATGTACCATCATTATGTATGTTTGCACTTTGGTATCTCTCTTAAAGGTGTGCAAGTGGCTTATTTTCTAACTTTTTATTTGTTCCACCACAGACTGTTTTGAGAAATGGTGTCTGGTTTTATTTCGGTGGAGACTATTTTGTATCACTGAAATATACATTTTCATGATTAGCATACTTTGAATAAACAGGGACCTCAACTAGGACAAGGAGTTTGTGTTAACTGAAAAGTTTATAATATCAATAAATCTTTTCATGGGATGAAAGAACCATTTTTGTGTAATAGTCGTGATATTACCAGAGGTTGTTTTTGTGATATGTTCAGCTTCTTACATAATGACTGACACTACACAGTCTCTTTGTTTTTGCATAACCGTTGCCATCCTCCTAAAACATAACAAGTGTGTGATTACAGTTGTTTATTTTTCTGCACAGCAACTTGAGGCTTCAGTGAATCTGCAGAGCTGTCACTCTTTTTATTTACCCAACAAACAGCAACCTTTGTGTGCAATGGGAACATAACCATAGGTCCTTTTAGTGCAAATGCTTAAAAACAGTGTTTATAGTTGTTTTCTTAGTTATTGCTCCAGATGTGAGTGGGTCTTAAGTCCTGCTACAGTATATGGCACTTTGCTGTTTGTTTGCATACCATTATATAGTGTCCCTGTGTTTTGGTTTTTGTTCTGCCTTTGTTATGTGCCCAGTGCAATTAGTATAGCAGAACTGTTACATGAGTCAGGTGTGAGTGTTTCTCTCTCCACTACAGGAGAGCTGAATTGTCTGCTTTCATAAAAAAAAAAAAAAAAAAACCTCTTTCTCAGACTTTTCCCCGAATTTTCT